GGTTTTAGGAACTTTATCCGACAACAACTTAAACGAGAATGTAATTCTTTCTCTGCAATTCTTCGCCCTGCGAAACTGACTGTTCAACAAGTGGTGTATCTTTATAATACTGTTTTGATTCCGAAATTGGACTATCGAATGCAAGTTACACATTTATCTGAGGCTAAATGCTCCACTATTACCTCTTCAGTTCGTGCCTTAGTTAAACATAAAGCCAAATTATCACACTCTGTTCCTAATGTGGTGTTATATTTAACACATGCTTTGGGTTTGATCAATTTATTTTCATTTCAACAACAAAGTCATTTTACTAATTTATTTTTGTTAGCAAATTCTTCTTCTGTTTTTATGAAATCATTATTTAATTATAGGTTGCGATTTATTCAATTTTATTGTTTAATTCCTATTTCTCCCTTGATGGTTTTGGATTGGACTTGTTGGTCTTCTCTTATAATTTTTAAACAAGATTATATCGCTAATACTCTAGCTTCATTGCTCTCAACTCCTTTTCGTTTGTCACGCGCTAATCTATCATCTGTGCTTGATTTAACCTACCCCAATGGCCATACTCCTATTTATCAATGTCTTTCTTTGGATGTATTTAAAGCCAATTTAACAAGACTTCAAAAACGTGGCCTTTTTTATCTTTTGCAACTTTTGACACCTCAAGGAACACATTTGCTCTCTTGGTCTGTCATATATGCTAACTCTGTTCAAAAGCGTGGTAATGCTCGTCTTCCCATGTGGTACAAAAATCTCTCTACTAATGTCACGATTCCAGATAAACCTGGTTTGTTAAGGGAAAGATTCTTGACTGAACAACAACCTGTGAGCCTGATTACAAAAGAACTTGCTCCTTGCATTCCTCCTTCTGATTATAAGAAGAATTGGATTGTTACGCTGAATGATAATGGCCTTCCCTTATTCGGCAAACAGATTCAGATCCAACCCCTTGTACTATTGTACATTAGACTTCAGATTGTTTATCTCGTCTGAGCGATTTAATTACTTTACGACCTTGTCCTGACTGCAACTTAAATATAAACAAATCTTCCTATTCAAAGAAATCAGTTGCTACTGGTTCTGTTTCCTGCTCTTATTCGGCCTCTTTTCGTCAGTTATGGATTTTACCTATGAAGAAATCATTTATTTTGAATCACACATCCAGTTTGACTGCTACGGTGTCGTGGGCGGAAATCATGGACTTTGTTACCGCATCTTGTAATCCTTTAGGTTACTCGATGCTTGCTGCTGATATTCCCCATACCTCCTTTGATATTATTGATGAGGCTTTGCCTACTCCTCATTTACTTACGGCTGGCGATGTTGCTGCTTCCTCATCGGTCGTGCTTTCTCTAGACTCTCAATATACCTTTTACACTGATGGTTCTCTTATCAATTTAGGAACGTGTGATGTTTTTATGGGATGGGGCTGGGTTCAAATTGTCAAGGATTCTGGCTTTCTCAACTCTATTGCCACTTATAAGCGGGGTATTATCCGTGATTGGTCTTCCTCTTCTCGAGCCGAAGCTGCTGCTATTTATGCAGCTTTATCAGCTTCTCCTGCCAACTCTGTAGTTCACATTTATACAGACTCACAGTCTTCCATCAAGGGTTTGAAACATTGTTTCTTATCTGATTATTCAGATTCTCGTCTTTATTATAAGACTACCAATTTTGAACTTTGGGCCATCATCCAACAACTGATTGTAGATAAACAACTTTCAGTTTTACCTTTCAAGGTTAAAGCTCACTCTAATTTTTATTGGAATGACTTCGCTGACTCTCTTGCCAATACTGCCCATACATCTGAGGATGCTATTCTTAT